AGTAAGGATAGAATCTTGCCTTAGAAACTTTTGTTCAAAGTTTCAACGTCGTCTTCTTAAAAAATCCTGGCGAGTTCCAAAACCCGGTTACTGTTCACGGGTACAAAACACTATTCTCGAACTCAAAATCTGATCTCCACCGTTCAGATTGTGCGACACTGAGTCATGAACCTATCCTCCAAATTTTAGCTCGATTGGACCACGGACGAAGCGGGATCGGATGTTTGATGAAATCTGGGTAGAATGGAAAAAACCTGTGCGACCCAGTTACTATTCACGAGTATGAATCACTGTTCCCGCGGACAAACTCTGATCTCCACCGTACAGATTGTGCATCACTGAGTCGTGAACCTCTCCTCCAAAATTTAGCTCGATCGGACCACGGATGAAGCAGGATCGGAGCTTTGATCAAACCTTGGCAGAATGTGAAAAACTGCGTTTTTCCTTCTCCACTTCCACAAAACGTGTGCTTTGTTTAAAAAAAACCCTACACAGACGTCTACCTTATACTTATAGAGTTTTCCTAAACCCTAGGTTCATTTAAGTCCAATTCACAATCCTAACCTGCCCATCCAATTAACGTAGAAACCTACGACGGCTATAATATAAAACCCTAATTTATACTGTAATTAAGACCCTAGTTAGATGTATTTACCTAATTGCCCTATTCACCATTAAATACTTAACAAATAATCTAATTGAACAAAATAATAATTAGTAAACCTAATTAAACCAAATAAGACACACATAAAATAAGACACACATAGAATAATTAAACCAATTATACTTAAACCATTAATGCCAATTAAATAATTAAAGCACTAACAAGTAATTCCAATCAAATAACTAAACCAATTTCACTTAAACCATTAATGCCACTTAAATAATTAAAACACTAACAAGTAATTCCAATCAAATAACTAAAAATAAATATCATTTAAATAAATTAAATCACCACAAAAGAAATAAATTAAATCACCACAAAAGAAAACAATTAAGCACCTAATAAAAAAAATAATGACACATAATCAAATAAAATGCACTTAAATAATAAATTAAATACCATTAAATACCAGGAATATCCTTTTTAAAATTAGGGGTATTACACAAATGGTACCATGAGCCGAACGCCAAACACTTGAAAAAAAAAAAAAAAATCAATCAAGTGGCAAGTGGCATTCTAGTCGAGCGCCAAACACTAAGCCAAGCAGGAGGCAAATGGCACTATGAGTCGAACGCCAAAAACTTGTCAAAACAAAAGTTAATTGGAAAAGTTAAATTGTCATTTAATTCAAGTATAGGTTGAAGTATGGATGCTTTGCAAAACAAAACTATCATTTCATTCATCACCACAGAAGGGTTCATAATATACAAAGAGTGATATTTGAGTGAAATAAAATAAGTACAAAAGACAGCATAATTTTACTCTATCACATTTTCTCCTGTGCCTGATCCATTGCCCGTTCCACCATCATTGGCTGCCTCATCATCGTTGGTCAGCCTATTGTCTCATTCCCTATCATTAATTACTTCATTGCCTCTGGATGGAGAGTCAAGATGGATAACCTCCTCAGTTGGTAGAGCTCTTTCAGTGGCAACAATGGCTGGAGGGACAATGGTGGTGATGGGGGGTACGCTCAGAGGACGAACAAGTGGGATGACCCCAGAAGTTGCAATCTTATTGCATTCTATGAATATATTTTCGGTGAGATTAGGGAGTGAATCCTTGTAAACGTTCGGGGGAACAATATCGAGAGATGTGTCAAGGTCATCTGGACCTGCATAAGAGCTTGATTCGCCTTCGGGGGGAGATCGGTCAATAAAGCCATCTCTATACCCTTCGGTATATCTAAGAGTCCTAATCTGACGTAAGCAGACTAAGGTTCTGAGCCATAACTGGAGCAAGATGTTCAGACGTAAGCAGACTAAGGTGGGGCTTCAAAAGAGGTGGGGCTTCAAAAGAGATGGATGCAGGATGTTCAGACGTAAGCAGACTAGGGTTCTAAGCCATAACCGGAGCAGTTTGGGTGGTCACTGAGGCAACTGGGGAAGTTACAGGGGCAGTCGTGGAAATGGCTCTCCTTATGCTGAAAGAGGGAATCTGGATGTGTTCCATAGTGGCATTAAGGACTGATATGTCAGAAAGGTTGTCCGGGGTAAGAAGATTGGTAGCAGATGGGATGTCATTTAGAACCTTCTCGTTCAGATGATCAAGCCTAGCGCTGCAAATGCTGAAAACCAATTCATCGTGAGGAATGTGAAGGCAACGATAAAGGAAAGTGCAAAAACGAGGAAGGCAAATTTCACAAGGGCAATCGTTCTTGTGCTTCTTATATTTCTTAGATAAGGGGATAGAATATTCCCCAAAAGTGGTCAGGATTGGGAAAGTCCGAGCGAATGGTGTTTGCCAAGCCCTACGACAATCAAGTTATTTCTCCAACCCTTTTCAGAGGCAAGTTTGTCAGTGCATATGGATCATTTCTCAAAGGGAAAGAAGTGAAAGTACATGTCATTGGTTCTGATTTTGGTGACTCGATAGCAGAGAAGGAGGTCTATGATGTCTAGATCGAGATTCCTATCATGATTCAAGAGCAAGAGAACCGATATTACCCTAAGGAAATTGGGGTTAACTTGGAGAGGGGAAAACCCTAATTTATTAAAGACATAACAGAAAAATGAATGTAAGGGAAATCTAATTACATTTAATTGGAGAACAGAGAAGAGGACTTCTCCTGGAAGAAGACCCTCACCGGATCTCTCATCCAGGTCCTTGGGATAGTTTCTAATGAAGACATCGTTAGGAATTTCGTTCTTCGAACGAAGAGCCTCTAAATCAGGGGCCATTGTACTGGTGAAGGAGTTTGTTAGTTTTAGGTTTTCTTTCTTTTAGGAAAAATAGTGAAAAGCAAAATCCTCAAAAAATAGTAAGGGATTGAGACTAACCTTAGAAAGAAGGTCTACAGAATATACCGCACCGGAAGGAAAGATGAGGAGTTGTGAAGGAAAAACTCACCGGAGAAAAGAAGAAGAACTCAGCGTAGAAGACTGGTTATCGGCAGAAACAATTGAAAGAGACGATACTTGAAGGTCAAGATGATGAAGGTAGAGAAAAGACGAGCTGGGGGTTTTGGGTTTTAAAGAAAAAGCGGCTCAATATCCAAAGGTTCGTGGCAATAATGATGCTTTAAATTTCAAAATGTGGGTCTCTGAATTAGCCGTTCGCTTCCCACGTCACCGTCTCGAGCAGTCTAATCGTAATTAAGACTTTTCGATAATCTCACCCTAATCAATTAGGGAGTGATTATGGGGGCAGATGAGGATACTAAGAATGGCATGGGCCAGGCACGACCCAGATTACTGGAAACGAGTCTAGAAAGGATACTTTGTTTGATTGGATCATCGCTTGTCAGGTCCAATACCCACTGAGTTAGCCTTGGAGTCCAACTTCAGAGCAAAGGAAGTGAGCCCATATCTAGTGCAAGCTCAAGGGATCAGCCCAGCGTGAAGAGTTAAGTAGGAAGCTTCTAGAGCAATTGTAGAGATCTATAAATAGATTGAAAAGAGAGGGAAAAAGGGCTGGAAATATTTTTGAAGTATAAAACTTTTCTTTCCAAATCAAGAAGAATTGTTTCTTGGATCTTCACTTACCTACTCAGAACTCGAATAGTAGAAGACTAGGTCTGATTCGAATACTAATTATAATGGGAGAGATGCTTGCCCAAACCTAAAAGCTTAAACAACTGATTCGTGTTGCACACTCACCCATAAAGATGTCCAATGGGTCGAGTTTGGGATGGGGCATCCCTTTCCAAACTCATCCCACCAATAAATTTTTTTCCCAAATCCGATTTGGGGCACCCAAATGTATATATTTTTTAAGAAAAATAATTTAAATTTGAATAAATTTAAGATAAATTTTATAAAACTTTTGTAGTATAGTCAAATATATAACAATCATAGTAACAAAAATGTTGCTAAAAGTTAAAATTATCACAAGAAATAAAGGAAAAAAGAAAATTATAGCTAATAAAATAATATTTAATTATATAATAATTTCTAATTGGGATAGATTTGGGGATTTGTGGGTTTTAATCTCTCTCCCCCCCAATCTGTCCATAATCCTATTAGAATGATCCCATATCTGTTCCAATAGGGACAAGACAGGTTAAATTGACATCCCTACTCACCCATGTATATTCAATCCAATTGCTAGTGTTATTTGACGAGGGACAAGAAGTTCTAACATCTACAAGGTACTATAATATTTGATACATTTCCAATAATTTTTATTCAAACACAATTTATATTTTTATTATTTATGGAATAAAGTGCAAAAAAACCTTAGGTTATATATGGTAAGAAAAAAAAAATCAATTCTTTGCCATTAATTGAAAAACGAAATGACAAAAATATCCTTACAGGCTAAATGAAATAAATAAAAAAAAACAAAACACTAGAATCCAAACGTCCTGTCGTCAGATTTTTTGGTCTCTCTCTTCAAATTATTATTATTTTTGTTCTCACCCTCTGTTTCATTCAGTCGGCGATGACGACCAGTATCGGTGGGAAAGGTATGGACGCCGGAGACGTTTTTTATTATTTGTGTTTGACTTGGTGGGTCCCTAAGAAACCCTAATAAGTCGTTCCACGCAAAGCAGATCAATTCAAAGTGGGTTTCTGTGTCTCTTCCTCCAATTAAGACTAAGTGTTGTTGAAATTCTTTGAGCGAAATTTCCGAGAAATGTATGTAAGTGTGTAATGTGTGTGTGTATATATATATATGTATATATATAAAACAAACTTCACTCTATTGTTTGTTCTTGGTAATTACAGTGTGTTTGCATACTTTTTGCTATACAATTTGGACACTATTAATAATTGATTTGTGTTGACTCTGATTCAACGCTTGCCCGCGTTTCTCGCTATGAAATGAAATAGGGCGAAGATTGCTCTTATATATATATATATATATAGTTATATACACGCATTGTTGTGGTCAGTAGTCTGTACTTGCAAGTTGTATATGCACGCCAGACTGTGGAGAGAGAAGATAGTTCTAGAGAGAGAAAGAGAGAAGAGATGGAAGCAGAGACCGGTATCAACGCATTGCCGGAGAATTGCATAGCCAAGGTGTTGTCTCTCACGAGTCCTCTGGAGACTTGCTGGCTTTCGTTGGTGGCATCCATTTTTCGGTTGGCTGCGGAATCCGACACAGTTTGGGAGAGATTTCTACCGTCGGATTATCAGGACATGATTTCCCGAGCGACCGATTCTTCTCGGCCGGTTTTTGCATCCAATAAAGAGCTTTATCTCCATCTCTCCGATCATCAGCTCATCATTGACAGTGGCTCTAAGGTAAAATATCGAATTTTATTTGACATGAATGATGCATGTGTATGCTGTTTATGTGAAAAGCATGTGTTCAAAATTTAAATGTGTCTAGGGTTTAGGTGTAGTATATTCAAAATTTTAATATGTTTACTTTTATGTGCGTATGTGTTTATATATATATATATATATATGTATATATGATTGTGATTAGTCATGAATGGTTTATTATTTACAGTTTTTTGTGGAAAACCAAAAATATGTTCAAAATTTAATTAATTAAAGGCTAGGTTTAATATATTCATGATTTTCATGATTTTACAGAGGGTGTAATGGTCAGTTCTGTTTTGGAGGAGCTTTGGTTCTTTCTAGTATTTTCTCTTATCTTCTAGACTACTACTTGTATGTACCTGTTTTTCGAGTGGAGCTTATCTGGGAAATACCACTAAAATAATATAAGGAATATAGAAGAGTAGATTGACGGAGAGAAAATCAGCCCAATTTGAGGACTGGAACGATGGTAGAGAAGACGAAGTCTGGAATATTGTCAGAGCCCAAAATCTTTGTCCTTTCCTTCTTACCTTTGCCACCTTTTTATAGTCCTAGGTCATTCAGGTGGTGTATGTTGGGTTCCGGATCAAGTGAGTCAGGGTCCGTATTCCTTTATGGATCATGTTGCCCTAATTCCTATTCTTTCAGTTCTGCTGCCAAGTGTACGTATCTCCTTGAATGACCTAAATAGAGGATATCTGTACAGGTCTCTGTATTTACTCCAGCCTATCTTTGGCTCTTATTCTCAAATTGGGTCCTGCCTTGGCAAGACTTAGCTAATTTTACATTCTTCATTCCAAAGTCCCTTCTGCATTCCCACTGGATTCAAAGAGTCTTACCGTTACCATTCTTTGTTCATTTTAGTCAGATCAAAGTTCAAGGTCTGTCGATCGACAGTTTGTGGCTTAGTCGGCTCGAGATTCAAAACCCGTCAATTGACAGTTTGTGACTGGGCTGGTTAGAGGTTCAAGGCCCATCGATCGATAGTTTGGTCGGATCGAGGTTCAAGGCCCATCGATCGACAATTTGTGACTTGGTTAGATCGAGATTCAAGGCCCATCGATCGACAATTTATGACTTGGTCGGATCGAGGTTTAAGGTCCATTGATCGGCATTTTATGTTTGCTGAACTGTACTTCCCATATGGACGGAATGTTGTCATTCTCTTGATTTAGAGCTGGCACTGAAGTGACGTGCATAACCACATCCACACTACTCTTTAACATTATGTTTACTATATTCAGCTAGCATTGAATTGAATTCCATTTGGATGGTTGCAATCTAGTTTATACACATTGTTTGCTTAAGTATTCACTTTCATGTATATATATATATAACTTCTCACTGGTGGCATTAAACAGAGTTTTTCATTGGATAAACGGAGTGGGAAGAAATGTTTCATGTTAGCTGCAAGATACCTCTCAATTATTGGGAGTGATACACCTATGTGTTGGAGATGGACTTCTCTAACCGAATCCAGGTCTATCTCTAACTCTGTGTTGTTCTTTTCTTCTTTTGTTTTCTCCATTTAAAAATGTATGGTGTTAATAATTTAACAAGTCCAAATACACAAAATCAGATTCACTGAGGTGGGAGAGCTTGTCAATGAACGTTTGCTTGAAATTCGCGGGAAGATAAGTACTCAGATGCTATCGCCAGACACAACCTATGCAGCTTACCTTGTGTACAACTGGACGACAGAAGCATATGGATTTGAAACCCAATCAGTAGAGAGCTGGGTACGAGTCAGTGGGAGTGAAAGGGAATTAAGGTGTTTTCATCTGTGTCCTAGTGGAGTGCAGAGGCGTCGGAAGACTCGGCAAATGGGCTTTCACGACATCCGTACTATGCAGAGACCACAAGTCCTCCAACAAGGGTGTCCGAAGCAGAGAGGGGATGGATGGATGGAGATGGAGTTGGGTAAGTACCTCAACAAGGATAGAGAAGATGGAGAACTAGAAATATGTTTGCAAGAAGTCAAGGGCGGACACATGAAAAGTGGCCTCATTCTTCAAGGAATCGAAATTAGGCCGAAGAATAATATAGTAAATTAATAAATGAATGGAAGAATGTACTCGCTCTCTTTCAAAATAAGTGTCATGTTTTGGGATCTGTGATTCACAAATCAAGACACTTATTTTGGAACTGAGGGAGTATGTGTAATTTTGTTGTTGGATCGAACTCGGTGTCCATCCAGCTATGTTATGATGCTTTTTGCAGGCCTTGTTGTTCAGTTATGAGTTTTGAATAGCAGAACATTTGAGATCTGTACATTTGGGTTGATGTACATAACTTCTTTTTCTTTTTTTTCCCTCCATCACTTTTTCTATTTGTGAAAAGCACATCTCCCTCTTTCTTTTATTGAATGGGCAAGTCTACCCAAAAGCAAGTGTAAGAATTGAAAGTCGGCGGATGAAAATGTAGGTTTGCTTACAAAGGACTACCGACTTTGTTCGAATATATTTGGTGAGACATTGAATACAATGCGTAGAAGTAACAGCTGTGGGTTGGGCTATCAATCTGTCGCCTTGGGCTCCTCCTATGTGGGATAACCCTCCCCAATTTATGGGCCTGTACATGTTACTTGTACTACTTATAGTTTATATATTGAAATTTAACTTTAAAAAAATATAAGGTAAAGGGTAATAAACTCTTTAAAAAATAAACTCCCTGAACTATTCTCTCGCTTAAGAAACCTCCTAAACTAAGTAGTGCCTTTTAAATTATTTAAAAAATGCAATCTAAATTACACGGAAGCTTGCTGGAAATGTTAGATTACAAAATTGCCCTTATCATTTTTTTATCATTTTAGTGCCAAACACTACCTTACACATTCCACATTTTATTTTAGCGCCAAACCACTACCCAATTAACTCATAAATCCATTCGAGAAACCATAGCTCCTTCAGCCATTGCCATATTGATGATAAGAAAAACCAAAATTAAAACACATTTTTATTATCTTATTTTTCAACTCATCACATCTTTATCATCTTTTATCTCACCATTATTGGTTTTGTAATAATGTTTCCTCACCCTATATCTGTACACCCAACGTAGGAGACGTGATCAAGAGAGAAATGCGTTGATGAATTTATTTGTCTGTTTGGAATCGGAATATTTGGTATCTATATATTATCTTTGTAATATATATATATATATATATATATATATATATATATATATTGCTTATCTTCATTTCATTAAAAGGAACAAAGTTAATGTGTTTGGATTAAATTAGAAGAACAGAATTCATGGCACAGTAACAATTGTAAGTCATTTTTCCGGCAACTGCTGTTAGCCCAAATCAATCTCCAAAAATTTATTTATTCCTTATCAATAACATTCGTGCAAGCCTATACACAGACGTATACCGACCCACCAGCCGACGACCACCAGGTCCACCACCACCCACCATTCACCAACAACCGGCCACCTGCAAACCCATCTTCTATGGTAATCCATACACATACAACCATAGACGGCCGCCACCACCACCCCCATCACCGCCGACCACCAACTAGCACTCTATGGATTATTTACCTTGGTCCTTAAGAACCCAAAACCATATCAAATACAAATGTAACTGATATTCATGTATTTTGCATATTGTTTGTAATCTCTTCTTGATATATTCATAGCTTTCCTGGGTTTTGGGATTACTCCCTCTCTCTAAAAATCAGTAAAGAAACAGAGATTCAAATACTTATTTGGCTTTGTTATTTTGAGGTTTGGCTTCTGACGTACTGTTTGGAAATTAAGTTGATTAAATATGTCGGATGAACCAAATCCTCATTGAATTTTATTTTTCCATTAGAAGGGGCTCGTACATGTTCTGCAGTACCCCTGTGAATACTCCGCCAGTATGAAAAGTTCTTAATGTTAATTGAGTACCCGGTTCTCCAATAGATTGACCCTCAATAATACCTACAACTTCCCCCAATTCGACCAGGTCGCCGTGAGTAGGACTCCGGCCATAACATAATCGACAAATCCAAGATGTACTCCTACAAGTGAAGGTAGTTCGAATAGATATTGGTTGTGCTCGAAAGGTTATGAATCTATTGATAAGTCCAATTCCAATATCTTGATTTCTAGTGGCAATGCATCGTGGACCCATATATATATCGTCTGCTAATACATGACCAATTAATGTTTAGATAAAAATTCTTTCCGGTATCATCCCATTTTGAGGACTCACAGAAATACCTCGAACGGTGCCACAATCTGTTCGACGTACAATAACGTGTTGAACTACCTCAACAAGCCTGCGCGTGAGATATCCAGCATCTGATGTTCGTACAGCAGTATCCACAATTCCTTTGCGGGCTCCGTAGCAAGAAATGATATATTCTGTTAAAGAGAGTCCTTCACGTAAATTACTTTGAATAGGTAAATCAATCATTTGTCCTTGGGGATCCAACATTAATCCCCTCATACCTACTAATTGATGTACCTGAGATGCATTTCCTCTAGCTCTCGAAAAAGACATTATATAGACTGGATTAAAAGGGTCAGTCATCCTAAAATTGGGATTCATTTCTTATCTCAAATATTCACTTGTAGCATACCATATCTCAATGGATTGACGTAATTTTTCTACCGCGTGTACATTCCCATAATGATGGTGTTTTTCCAAAATCAAACTTTGTTGTTCAGCATCTTGAACTAGCCATCCCTTAGAAGGTATTGTTAAAAGATCATCAATTCCTAATGAAATGGATGTAGCGGTGGCTTGCTGAAAACCCAAAGTCTTTACTTGATCTAGGATGTGTGATGTATATGCCATTCCGAAGTGATCTATTAATCTACTAATAAGTTGTTTCACGGCAGTTCCGTCTATCGCTTTATTGTGATAGACCAGATTGGCCCGTTCTGCCATAAGTACCTCCATATTCCGCTGAGTAGGATTCGACAATGGGTTTGAGTCAGTGATTGGAAAACTTCCTTTTCTTGATCTTGAGTCGAGTAGAAATTCCGGAACTATGATCCTAGTTGAACCAGAGAGACCTGAATTCCCGCTGGTATCATAGAATTACTTAGCTTAGGTACCATATGAACATGCCCGACAAAACCCTTGTATGGCTTCTTCAATTTCTCGATAAAGAGAAATATGACCAACAGTGGTTCGAATATATATCAAAATAATTTCTTTTTTTTATACTTCTTATTATTAGATAGTGCTCATAAATCTCATGATAGGTACCCAAAGATTCATAGTGAACTTCGATGGGAGCTTCTCTTGAAGCAATAACGCGTTAATCTAGTCGCCATCGGAGCCACAAAGGACTATCTAAATGGATTCTTTTCTACCGATAAGCTCCGATTGCATCATAGGAATTGCAAAAAAAGGGTTCTTGTTTTTTCGTATACTTATAGTCAATTCTTTCATTTTCATTTTGATTGTCTCTGCGATTACATGGATTATACCTATTTACATAAATACCTCGACGATTCCCGCTCGTTAATACATAGAGTCCAATAAGCATATCTTGGGTTGGTACGGAAATGTGATCCCTAATAACGGGAGATAAAAGATTCATATGAGAAAACATAAGTAAACGGGCCTCCGCTTGAGCCTCCAAAGATAAGGGTACATGAACAGCCATTTGATCCCCATCAAAGTCGGCATTGAATCCCTTACGAACTAATGGATGTAAACAAATAGCGCGCCCTTCTACCAAAATAGGCTGGAATGCCTGTATGCCTAATCTATGCAGAGTAGGTGCTCTATTCAGCAATACAGGATGCCCCTGTACAACTTCCTTAAGTATTTCCCATACAATCGGTTCTTTTTCCCGAATTTTACTCTTAGCAACCCCTATGTTCGAAGCAAGATGTTGTTTAATTAGACCACGAATTACAAATGTCTGGAAAAGCTCTATTGCTATTTCGCGAGGCAATCCACATCGATGTAATGAAAGTGAAGGGCCTACGACAATGACGGAACACCCCGAATAATCGACCCGTTTACCAAGCAGAGTCTCTTAAAATGACTTGTAAACTTTATTATGACCGTCCCTCATTGGTTGTCCGTGAATTCCGTTATCAAGAAGTGTATCCACGGCTTCTTGTACCAATTTCTCCTGACACATTACTAATTCTCCTGGCGTAGATCTACTGGTTGTTAATAGATCGGTAAGAGTATTGTTCCGATAGATAACTCTTTGGTAGAGTTCATTAATATCCAAGCTCATTAGTTTACCCCCATCTATCTGAATGATCGGTTTCAACTCGGGAGGAAGAACTGGTAATAGACACAAGACCATCCATTCTAGTTCTATATTTGTTCGAATAAAATGCTTAGCTAATTCCATGCGTCTAACCAAAAAATCCTTTCTTCTTCCAATTTTTCGATCTTCCCATTCATTCCCTGTGAGCCCTTCTTCCCCTAATTCTTTCCATTCTACCAAGGAATAATCTATAATAATTCGTAAATCTAGATCGGATAATTGTTCTCGAATAGCACCTGCTCCAGTAGAGATCTCTCGATTTCGAAATGTATCGAAGCCTTGGGTAGTAAAAAAAAGCGGGATGCTGTATTTCCAAGATTGGATTTCATATTCGAATGAACCTCGTAATCATAAGAAAGTGGGTTTTTTAGCTTTGGGCCTAGCAAAAGAAAAATTGGGATAGGATCCTATCGGATCTCCCCCTGCAAAATCGGATGTGAAAGTTTCCTTTCATCCAGCTCAAGTAGGTACACTAAATAAAGAACGGAGTTCTCGCTTTCAAATTCTAGAAAACCCCCAAACAAAAGATCTACTCCTTACTTAAGTTCCCAGTGCAGACTAAACAAGATTTGATTGATTCTTTCTTCCGTTTGTTTATTTTTTAGATTTTCTGAATTCTTTATTCAATTACGACATAAATGAAATGTGAAATTCTTGAGTAGTCTACTTCCCTTCGAATAATGAATCCCCTTAATTAAAATTAAAGGAGTACTTTGGAATTCATAAAGGATTTATTTGTTTATGTATCATTCCATTCGATCTTTTAGGTCCCGACTTCACCTCGACGGTTATGCCATGATGTCTTTAAAGCCTATATGCGATGGATAAACTCCTGTAACCATGACATATTTGCTATTTGCTAACTTGAACAGAAACATAATTTATTTCGAAAAGAAAGAAAATGGTTAATTCCACAAAAGAAAGAAGTCTTTTTGTACGAGGTACAACTAGAGATTCCTATTTATTTGTTATAAAATCGACCATAGATCAATTTCCCCTTTTATTTTGGAGTATTGAATACACCCATAATTCTGAGCTTCATGTTACTCCTCCCAAGAGACATGTCAGACCCGGGGCATCCCAATTGGATTAAATGGGATGACAGTTTCTCATTCTGAATCTGTAAAATCAGAATTTAGACCAAATCACACATCGCAGTATACTAGGCCTTCTAATTCTTTAAGAGGTTTATCTAAAAGATGCGCAATATAACTAGGAAGACGTTTCAAATACCACACATGGGTTACTG